GAGAGGAGAAGGTAGAAATGACTCAGCCTGTAACTGAAAATATGGATGGAGGACAACAGAGCTGCTTCATGGAAGAAGTAAGGACAAACATTTCTAGAAGTAACAAAACGGTCTGTCCATCAGTCAGAATGGAGACTTGAACTGAACCCCAAATGATTACATTTAGATGTAATCATACACGTTTTTGTTCTTGTAWAAATGTTCATAATTTTAATCTACATTCATGCTAATATGAGACTAGAAATAAAGACCAACAAAGTATTTCATCTAAAAGCAAAGTAACAGAGTTTAGCATTATCACAACGGCTTTAGATCCGGTCTTGTGGGGACTATCTATAAACCACTTTAGGTTTCTTCTGTGTTCAGAAAAAAAGGACAAAACTAAAGTTAAGTCGGTGTAACTGAAGGTGGAGAGCTGAACCAAAAAGTGAGCTGTGGTCAAATATCTGTCTGGTTAAATATACTGAAGGACAGACTCAGAGTCTGTAGTCAGTAAATGCTGGGCTGCATGTGGACAAGACTGAATGAACCTAGTCTGCTGGTACAGAAGACAAAGTTCACGTCACACAGGYCTTACTGTCCATGAACTATTGTAGTTATCCCTAAGACCAACCAAAGACAGGCTTGTTGGTGTTGTGTTTGTTACCCTCTCCAGAAGGCTCATGTCCTGGAACTCTGGGCTGGTGTTGGCCAGGCGCTGCAGGSTGTGGGTCAGGTCATAATCTGCTGCAAAGTAGAAGGCATCAGTGTGAAGCACGCTGTTGATCATGGACATGAACGTYTTGTTGTCCTGCATCTGAAACAAATAAATCCAAAAAGATCACATATTGTTACTTTCACTCTAAAACAAACAAACAAAAAAAAATCTGTTGTAGTTTGAAACCTAAACGTTTATAACTCACAGCAAAAACATGTTCTGACAACCAACCAAAACCTGGAACCAAAGATCACAAAATAATTACTAGTTTCATTTTTAACACTAGATTAATTTGCTGCAAAGTTTAAATA